TATATATATATATATATATATATATATATATATATATATAATAATTTCATAATTTTCATAAGTCCCAAATAATCAAAACTAAACCACCCATCCATCGAGAAATAACGGTAGCCAGCTAAACTTAGATACCTAGAAAAGGTAAGATTGGTAACCAATGCACCATATTTGTTATGGGACCCCAAAGTGTCACCCTCAACTTCTGTTGCACAAAAAAATTCCAGCATTCAGAAATAGAACCAGAACCAAAAGGACACCCTAAGTAGATTGGACACATAACTACACTTTCATGATCCAAGGTTTCGACACCTCCATCTGTGTAAAGGAGGCATGTGCAAGAATCAAAGAACCATAAGGCCGATAAGGGTACTTGTTATAAACACAGCATCAGTCATTGTTTCGCGTGAAAACAATGGGACCTTGTCAAAGGTCCGATGAAGTGGAGAAGACTAGATTCGATCCAAGTAATGTTGGGCCGAAGGTTTCCTGCACAGTAAACACACGTAAACTAGCCTCGGGGGTGTTGCCGAGGAAGGCCCCTCCGATGCTAAAGTCAGTACAGTGCGTAGAAAGAGAACACTATGCAAGAGAATTAATTGCTTGAGGCTTTGCTTGAATGAATGTACAAATGTAATATTGATGGCTTTTATACCTCTGCATACATGGAGAAGTTGGGCCTTAGCCCAATTGGCTTGCCTTGAGGACTGATCTTTGACTTTAGCACAATTGGAGAGATGAACCTTGACCTTGGGCTTTTAATTGGATCATTTAATGCCTAAGCCCAATTGGACTAAATTGGACCCAAACAGTCATTATCCTCAAATATCTGTATGTGAGATCGAGAATTGGAATCTGTAAGCTTCAGAGAGCACGAAAAAGGAACAGCAGCCAGCAACTGTTCTAAGCGACCGCATGTGCTCGCATCAGATTTGATCTATGTCACGGTCACAAGTACACAGGTTTCATACAGTCCCTAGAAGTCTAAACAGGAACACCAAAAGTGAAAAGAGAGTTGGGCACTAAGAATAACCAACATGGTCCACTATGAAGTTTGGAGAATAAGCATCTTAATGTGCTAAAATAGTACTCGTAAGCATAAAGCATATGAATGTTATTCTTTACCAAGACTCAAAGAGTTCTAAGTTTAGAAAAGATAAATTTCAGAAGATCTCAGCTTATTAGATAGAGACGTGATCTTTACTTTCTTGAGATTGCTATAGGTAGAATCAAGTAGGTTCGTATACTTCAGTAGATCGTCTTTCATTAGACCACGTTTAATAAATACAATTTGAAATCATATTCCAGCTGCTTCCTGCGTGTACATAAACGCACTGAGCCATTCCTACTTTACTTTGTGAGCAGACTTGGTTCTCGATTAACCAGTGCAAATATTTATATCAGCAGCTGCCATAGCCTAGAGTGCTGACTATTCCTAGTAGAACAGAAACAAGCTTATGCTATAGACAGTGCTTCCTGAATTCTAGTAAACCTGATTAAACTACCTCAGATTATTCAAAGTACCTCTGAAAGAAAGTGGAAACGCTGGGCAATGACATATGATTTATGCAAAATCTCGCTTAAGTGAGTGAAACCCCCCCCCCCCCCCCTGGAATTTTTAACCAAAGAGCTTGAGTGATAGATCACTCGTTTAGAGATAGCTCAAGGAAAAAAAAAAAAAAAAAAAAAATGTTAATAGTAGAAGTACAAAACATTCAGTAACACCCAAAACGCATGGCTTTTCTAAACTTTCCAAATAAAGGAAACAAATTTAATGCTCATTAAGGGCTATAATTAGCAAAAAAATAGATTTCAAAAAATCAAGAAGCAAGACCTCTAGTGGATTGCACTGTTGGAGCCTGATAAAAAAAACGAAGCTTCAGTGTAGCATTTTCTTACTTTTCCTGTGTCATTTCCACCACTTGCTCCCTTCCGCCCACTGAATATTCCACTTATTTCCCTGCAAGTGCACCTAATGCTCAAGAACTTCAATCAGACAAGATAACGACCATTTAAATTTTCAATCAAATATATTTGCAGAATTTCTGTACATGAAAACATGGGAATATTGATAAAATAACATATCCTGAGTATGCAAAGAAGGGGGCAGGGTCAGGGCACAGAATATTTCTCCTTTAGGAATTATATTATTTCTTTTACTCTCATTTGTGCGCAAACGGCCATGAATGGGTCAAGAACATGATACGTACAATATGCCAAGAGAATCGAACAGCTTTTAACGCGTCCATTATAAAAGTTAGAGACATCATTGGCTATAGCCTATAGGCAATTCTTATTAAGAGGGAGAAGAGCATTCATTCAATAATACAGAGCCATGGTTGTTGATTTTATTAACATGAGGGTCACTTGCAGAAGGCTCAGGCCACATATATTCATGGTTTTAGTTCAGATGGCCTCGGCCTTTCTTTATTTTATAACAGAAGCTGCTTTCAACCACGGGATGAATCCTCATGTTTACGTCACCTACCGCCACATAGTAGGTGGTATTGCAGTCTTTCCATTTGCCTATTTCCTTGAAAGGTGCATAGAAGTCTACAAATCCCTCTCCCCCCAACCCCACTCCCAACTAAAATAAAGGGGAAAAAACTGACTGACAACAATTTGAATCCTCACTTGTTATTACTTCTGAGCATTGTCACTATTTTCCCTTGGTGCAGGAAAACAAGGCCAAAGATGACACTCAACATGTTCGTCGAAATCTTTCTCTATTCTCTACTTGGGTATGTCACTACTCACTACTAATATGTTCTATCCTAAAGTTGAAAGTTTCTGATTCCTCCCGCATCTTTGTAAAAGTTGAAGTTTGTATTTACCGTATCTTAGTAAAAAAGAGATCTGAAAGTTTGTTTATTTTCCCACTGATGCCAGAGTGGGGTTAACAATTAATATGTACTTTGCAAGTCTACAATACACTTCACCAGCATTTCTGTCAGCAACAGTAAACACGATTCCTACATTGACGTTTATACTAGCAGTAATATTCAGGTGATATCAAGTTTCTATAGTAACAGCTGTGTCCCTTAAAAGATTAATGTAACACAGATCTTACCTTCTAATGCAAAATGATTAAAGCATGTAATTGCAGTTAAAAAAAAACTAACCTTTGTGGTATTTCCTTAATCATATGCAGGCTGGAGACTCTTAACTTGAGAAAACACCGAGGATTAGCAAAAGCAACTGGAACTTTAGTATCATTAGCTGGGGTGATGGTCATAGCATTATACAGAGGGCCAGCAATCAGACGCCTGTATGAACCTCCAATACACCTAACAAAAAGCGAGTTCCACAAGAATTGGATAAAAGGTCCAATACTTTCACTAGCAAGTTGCATATCCTGGTCAATATGGTTCACAATGCAGGTATCTCAATCCCTAGCCTAATTTTCAACAGCACAATGCAACCAAGTAAATGTTCGAAGAAGTTCCTAGCATACATGTCCAAGCTTTCGAAAACAAAATGAAAAAAGGAAGATACAATGGGTTTCAGTCTAGAATTATCTCTAGGACACTAATGTTTCAATAGCATAAGATATATCCAACAAAGGCAACAATGCACGCATGTGAGAGTAATGCTAGGGCTATTAGTCTATTAATAAACTCACATCCTAATGATTCCTTTATAAGTGCTAGCATGAGCTAATATATTACACCATAAATACAAGTACCAGATTGGTTCGAAAAAAATGGAACTACTAGTTTGAGCTTGAACAAATTACCCATTCAGAATAGGAAAATACTTATTCTAGCAGTAGTTTGACGTTAAGAAAAGAAAACTTTAATGGAAGAGTTTTCAAGCAAAAAACATACTGATAATATGATGGTGATCCTTGCAGGGATTCACTTTGAAGAGATATCCAGCACCACTGTCATTAGCCACATGGGCAAACTTTATAGGAGCATTACAATCTGCTGCTTTCACTTCCTTGGCAGTTCGACATCAACCAGCTGCATGGGTCAAGCATTCCTTCATAGACATAGCCACTATTCTGTTTGGGGTAAGTTGAATCTGGTAATAACAGAGTGAAAAACATTTTTCAACAACTCCCTCCCCCCCCCCCCCCCCCCCTTCCTCCTCCCATCAGCTGGAAGACACTAACCTCAATTATTGGTGATAATTGCAGGGAGTGGTTTCCTCTGCTTTAAACTTCATCATGATCGTATGGTCTTCGAAAGAAAAAGGTCCTGTGTTTGTAACTATGTTTTGTCCCCTACAAACACTATTAGTGGTGATCTTCGCTTATTTCATTGTTGGTGAAAAACTATACACGGGCAGGTAAGTGTAATTAATAACATCCTCTTTGTACTTACTATGAGGAATATAAATTAGATGTCCTAAATCATCACTGGTTGTTCAGCATCATAGGAGGAGTTACAATCATCATAGGTCTATATCTGTTGCTATGGGGAAAAGCAAAAGACCAAGAAGTCAGGGTCTCAACTGAGAGGCAACAATCCCTGTCTGCCATCAAGCAGAATGAACCAAAGATGCAAATAGTGACAGTGCCAGAAAAGGAGTCACTGGATCACTAGATGAAACCTGCGAGGAGGAAAAGATATTGATATTCTCGTCGACTAACTGAAAAAGACAGTAGCATATGGACCAAGATTTGTACCAAAATGTTCATTCCAGAAGCCATAAAACAGCAACAGGAGTGCAGACAAAGAGAAAGGCAATTCTCCGGCTCATGCAAACAACATTACAACAATATACGCTAGAAAAACAGATATCATGGCAAGTAAAGAGAGTTTTAAATAACCATGATAGCGGATTTTGTATTGAAATAATCATGACAAGAGCAATTATTTATACACAAGATACCAAGATGTCTGACCATCCCATATTTAGCAAAGTACATCAGAATGTTCACATTGCAGGTGATTAAGAGAAAAAATTGACTAATCTTCCTTTCACAACATAGTTTTTGAGAGATGAGTTTGACAAAATAAAGGAGCGTGGAATTCAGGAATATATGTTGAAGGAACCTATGACAACATTATGATATTTCTATGTCATTAAAAGCATGCAGATAATTCTGCATTATAAATTGACACTTCAACACAATTCATCAGGAAGGTTGGACCATTAGACTACGGAATAAGTACTTTCTAAAATTCACTTATTCACATTCCACCTCTGTATATTATCGATAAAGATTTAGGTTATAAAAGTTGCTGTATTGTTTTCACCAGTGTCAATATGTCAAATTAATGTTTCCATCACACACATGATCTAGTAATCCTTGGTTAATAAAATCAAAAAGACTTTCCAGTATGTTGTATATCTCTTCTGCTCTGGGATGTGTTTTATCAGTGGAATGAAACTGGTGGATTCTGCAGTCAACCTCAATCCAGCTGCAGCCAGGGATCTTTTGTGCGTCCCGCTCCTTCAACATCTTCCTCACTCCACGGACCTCATCCCACTTAGCCAATCCCACATATAAATTTGCTAACATTGACATGTAGCCACCATTATTAGGATCAATCTCAATCAACTTTCTGATTGCAAACTCCGCTAAATGTGAATTGCCATGAATTTTACACCCATTGAGCAGGGAACCCCAGATAACCTCATCAGCTTTGACCTTCATGCCACTGATAATATCCATAACTTCTTCAAACCTACCTGCTCGACCAAGAAGATCAACTACACACCCATAGTGCTCAATTTGAGGCTCAATACCATAGACTTTGGTCATTAAGCCAAAATAGTAATATCCTCTCTCAACCAAACCTCCATGAGTACAAGCATTCAATAGACCAATAAAAGTAATTTCATCAGGCCTCACATCGTTCTCGGTTTGAATCATTTCCTCAAAAACATCAAGTGCACTCCTACTTTGCCCGTGAAGTGCATAACAATTGATCATCGAATTCCAAGATGTCATACTTTTATCAGTAGTAGTGTCAAAAACAAGTCTAGCTTCCTTCAAGCAACCACATTTTCCATACATATCAATCAATGCATTCGAGATATACGAATCACGACCAATACCCTTTCTACAAATATAGCCATGTGTTTCCTTCCCAAGCTGAAGCATACCCGTTTGACCGCAAGCAGAAAGAGCACAAGCCAAAGTAACTTCATTCGGTCTAAGCTGCATCTCACATGGAGCCAACATTCTTCTAAGGTATGAAATCGCCTCTGGAAACAACCCATTCTGTGTGCACCCAGCAATTATAGCATTCCAAGAAGGAACATCCCTTTCAGGCATCTCATCAAACAGAATAATCGCATTCCCCATCTTCCCCAATCTAGCATAACCAGATATCATAGCAGTCCAAGAAACAACATTTCTCTCAGACATTTCATCAAACAGTTGGCGTGCAGTCCCAAAATCAGAACAAAACCTAGTATAAGAATCCACAAGAGCAGTTTGAACAATAGGGTTTGATCCAAAACCTGTTTTTACAATCTGGGTATGCACCATTTTCAATCCATAAGAATCAAAAACTTCAGAACTTGATTTCAGGGCACTGGGGTAAACAAAATGGTTAGGTCGAGGACGACCCTTATCAACCATGTTCTTATACAAGCTAAGAACTGCAAAATGATGGGATTTAGCAGCATAAGCGTTGATAATTGCACTGTAGAGGTAAACATTGGGCGAATTGACATGATCAAAGATCAAACGAGCGTAATGAAGGTCGGAAAGATGAAGGGTGCAGAAACGAATGAGTCTGAAGACGAAGAACTGAGCTTGCGCTTGACCAAGAGTGATGAGAGAGGATTGAAGTTGTTTGAGATGGTTGAGAGTTTTGCACTTTTCGAGTATGGCTACTACAGTTTCAGTCAGGTTGGAGGTGTTTGAGAGGGTGACCATATTCTTACCTGCATAATGGTTGAGCGGGAACGGATGTGTCCGAGGTGATAGTAGTTACTTCCAACAAAAGTTGACTCGATACGACAAGTAGAGGGAAAGCGTTGTTTTTATTGCACTTTGTAGTTTGTATTACTGAGTATAACTCTTTTTAAGATGACAATTGTCACCTTAAAAAAGTGATCGGTTGCAAACATCTACGATTCTTAAAAAAATTGAACATGAAGATACCGATAAGAACTCTGGTGAAAACTTCTACAATGTGACTTCAATATCATAGTGTTACTTAATAGTTTGGTTCAAAGTATTAAGCACTCTAGAGGTTATAGGACTTTAGGAGGTTTCCCTTCAATTATTAGTTCTTTTAAATATATGTGAGTTAACCTTTTAATAAGGTTTCCATATACTCGTAGTTATGTACATAACACATCAAGTCCCCTACTGTCGCAGACCTCTTCCAAGTTCAAGGCATGACACTGCAATGGTTTCGACTAGTGCTTAATCCAATAACATGGGTGGTACTATAGGTAGCAGGCAGTTGAAGGAGGCTTCTTTTCAATTGTTACTGATTTAGCCGTCTTTTCTGACCGTGTCTCTCAGAAAGTGAGTTTAATGAAGACTTTTTGTTAAAAGATGGTGCATTCAAACTTAACAGGAAACTGAAGAACTTGACACATAATTAATGGATTCCGTCATAATATATTGGAAAATCTCTATACAAATCACTAAATCAGGCTAAGAGATCATACACTATTACACTACACATGTACAAAATGCAACATGGCTGGAGCCTCAATTGGTTTATCCATTTGCTTTTCTACTGGATTAACTTACAAAAACCTAATAAAGCTCATTTACTTTTTCATGCTGTCAGATTATGGAAGCCTTAATCTCATTTTGCTTCGAACAACTTGGTGCGTATGGATTCATGACATGAAGATTTGTTAAGGCTGCAAAGACCACAAAAAAATTAACATCAGCAAACACTAGTAAGACAGTTATAACTTATAAGGTGTATATTCTTTTTTGTAATGCCAAAAAGGCAAACAGCAGTATAGAAAAGGCCTTGAAGGAAATTTACCGTAGGAGAGTATCGCCACTGAGGCTCAGCTGCTCAGATATGTATTCTGGTGCAACTTCTTGTAGCAACTTAAGTTGTTCTTCAACCTCGGCTGCAAAAACAGAACAGTAAAACATTTACAGTGAGAACAGCAGCAAAATGAATGACCAGTTATAAATTGACCAAAATAGAAGCAAATCCTTACTTCTATCAACTACATCCAAATGGCCAGCAATTAATTTGTAAATAAGCTCCTCCTTTGTGACAACAGACCGGTTGATAGACTTGAATAAGAGGAGAATCATGTCAAAGAGCTTAGGTACACCCGCCATCAACTGTTGCCGCCTCTTTGCTTGTAAGAGGACTGGGTTGTTCTCTTCTAAGATCTTCCTTTCTTTCTCTAACAACTGCAAAATGGAGTTCTTCTCAGTTAAAACCTCCTTCAAATATGCAACACAAACAAATTTCAGAAAGCTGAAACTCCACTTACCGACTGTAAAAGGCCTTCTGGAAGTATTTCCAGGACATCATCCTTGGAAAGAATGGAACCTTGTGTGGGAGCAATACTCTCATCATGATCAGCTTGAATCAACGGGTCCTCAATATCAACACTGCTCTCATCAAAGTTCAAGGACCTACGCTTAGCTGATCTGTTGGGTAAATCACTAGTATCATGATCTGGGGTCATGAGAATGCGTTTTTGAGGGCGTATTGAAGGTGTGGCTGCCATCAACCTTGCAGGAGTTGAAGCAAGCTCTGCAGGTGTTGAAACAAATTTCATAGATATTGAAGCATGTTTGGCAGGTGTTGAAGCAGCATCAAAAGGTGCTGCATCAGTTTTAACTACAGTGTTGGAATCCCCATCATTAACCTCAGCAGATGAGGCTTCCTTGATTCCAGTTTCAGACAAGTTGGATGATGGCTTATCTGCCATGGATTCCTGAACTGGAGTACCTAGAGGCCTAGATGAGAACCGCCTCATAAAGGAGGGACCGGTTAGTGATGCAGCCAATGGCGCAGGGGTTTTAATCATGTTTTGCTCAGGTTCCTGCTTTGGCTGATGGAATAGCTGAGGTAATTCTCCCTCAGGAACATCATCCTCATCCTGATAGGAAACAAAGCCAATTCAAAAAATCAGTAAGTGTATCAATTCACAATTTTACAGTCCAGCAGCCTCCAATTAAAAGATTAGAGGAAAAAAAAAAAAAAAAACCCCAATTTTATACCTCATGATGGGATTTGTAATAGTCAAATATTCGTGATCGAAAGATATCTTTCAATTGCGAAAACCCACTACCACCTTTTGCTTTCTTGTCAGTTTCCAAAGCAACCACCTCTAGAGACAAAAGAAGATCCTCCATCATACATTTTGTTTCATCATCTTGAACACGGATTTTCTTCGCCGCAATAACCTCTGGCATTATGTGCTTCAATTGAGCCAAGTGATGTAGTGTGAACCTCCTATAGCAAATAAGAGAAGTTCCAATGCATTTTCAGATACATGAATTTAAGTATAACAAATCGGCCAGGCAAAAAATAAGGTTCATGCCAAATACTTCTAAAGCAATTACCTGTCTGTCAATGACTCGATACTCTTAGCAAGCTTAGTAAAGTTTGGTTGCTGTCTTCTCAACCGGAGTAGCCGAATTGAACCAACCATTGAATTGAAAAACTCGCATAGCATCTCATACCTGTCATTAAATCAGTATAGGATCAGTACAGCACTAAGTAATCAACACAAACAATCTTCATTATTTGTACTACAATTCATTAGCATTATAACTTAAGATACAATCACCTCAATCAACCTCAATTTACTATAAAATGCTGACAATGTAGGTTAGCATAAACATTTACAAATTTCAAACTAACAAACACTAATTCCAAAAATATCAGAAGAATGAACTACAATTCACTAATTAAGCTTTCAATTTGCTGCGAAATCGGCAAATTTTAGATTCATACAAATTGAGCAGACAGGATGTCAAGCCACAATGAATATCTAATCAACATCAAGTTAAACCTTCATAGTTATCTTTCAGTTAGTCCAGCAATTTAAAAACACCTCAAAAATGCAATTTACTTTATAAGATTAAACCCTAATTTTTTCCAGATTTATAGCAGCATTCACGAATTGACGAGACAACAATCAGCCTCAACGATTCACATAAATTGAAGTCAACTACACCAATATTTCCACGATTCAGGGTAATGAACAACCAGAAATCAACGAATATCATACTACATTAACACAAATTAATGCACAATTTTATAAACCCTAGTTTCCGCAAAATCGAAATGCCAGAATCAAAGGATCTCAAATTTACATAAAAAAATAGCTACGATATCAAAACATTCCACAGAAAACATACATCATATTCAACCAAACACAAAAAACAAACAAAAATTGAATTGATATTTAAAAAAAAAAAAAAGTCAAATCAATTAAAAAATAGCTCAAAAAATCAATCAATAAATTTTCCATACTTTTGTGGCAAAGATGCAGGAGATTTCTGGGATCCCTTAGGTTTCTGACCAATTCCACTTCCGACCACCTTCTCCGGCCCCACCTTACTAAGATCCGACCCAACATTGTTAGATTTTTGCAGTTGAAGTGCAGTTCTTCGAACCTCGGAAACCGATAGCGCGAACTTCTGATTACGGATCCGAGTAACCGGCTTCGGGTTAGCTCGTTCCGGGGTTGCGACAGCAGGACCGACGGCTTCCGGGTTGATGATACTCTTCTTGTTTGGAGTAGTGAGCAATGGCTTCTTTGACTTGAAGGGGATCATCAATGGCTGTTCAGAGGACTCCATTGATGGAGTAATAAGCAAGAAATTGAAGAAATTTGAGAGATTTGAGGAGAGGGAAAGAGGAGAGAGAATGAGTGGGAGAAAAAATGGAGGGAGATTGGGGAGTATAAGAGGGAGATGAGGGGAGTAGGGTTTTATGGCGGGAAGGAGGTTTGCCGCCAAATGAAGCTTTTTTCGCGGGGAATTTTGTGGGCTTTTTAATGGGCTTATGTTGTGTGCCCTAGCCCAAATTGTTGGGTTGGATGATTGGATGTGAAAACTGAAAAGAGGTGTGAGACTTAAAAGTTAGTTGATCTATTTTTATGGGCTTTTTGGGTAGTTAAATTGTGTGATGGGACTTATGGATAATGGATTAATGGATGTTTGGTCCAAATTGTAATGTTGTGTTGGATATTTGAATTTTTGTTGATTGAAACTTGGAAAAAAGGAGTCCAAAATTCCAAATAACTTAACCTAGAAGGCAATATTTTTTTTACCATTAAAATGAAAAATGTTCTTATAACCATATCGTGATTGTATGATAAAGTGGCCCGGTCTAAACCTGGTCTGATTGACTTAATTGAGAGATTTAGATGCAATTGTTAATTTACCAAATATAATTATATCACTCATACTGTGTAAAATAGATTGATACTATAAGTTGTATGATTCAACCATATATGTGTTTTCTATCTTAATAATTAGTGATACAATACTAGCTCAACTCTCAATTGAAAGGTAATATGGTATGCTCTAAACTCACATGGTGCGATCAGAAGGAGCTCCGGAGCTTGCAAGTGGTAGAGTTATAGTTTGAGACCACTTAGATAGGTTTGATTTAACAATCTTTTGACGATTTTGGTAATTATAAAAAGCATTCAAAGCTATAGTCATGGCTATGATGTGAGGCCTACAATTGGCCTAAGATATTTGTATTAGTAAATGTATGGTCCAATTGGAAAATACAGCATCTATGCAGCTTTATGAGTGGATTTGTATAGAAGTTATGAATGTGCTTACTTGATTTGTTATTGCCATGGATTGATTGGCAATGAGGATTTAGAGGTTAAAATCTAAAAAGAAAATTGAGCGGCAAATTGGCTTGCAAATCCAAGTATGAAGCAACAATGATTTTGAGTCAGGAGTCACAATATATTTATCTCAAAATGATAATATTAAGCCGCTACTCCATCATGATAATTGGTTTAATCACACAATAATGCTTTTAAATAAATCGGACAATCATCTTCACTAAGAGAAATCAATGAAAGTAGTTGCATTTTAACAATCATAGAAAAAGTTGTACTATAAATTTAATATTTCCATGAAATTAACTCATATTAGCATTGAATATTTGCCTTAGAGAAACAAAATGAAATTCCAAAAGACATGTAAAAACTGAATTTCAAATTTTATTCGGAAATACAATTCGAGCGATCAGCCTACACCATTTTCAATGTTAATCACATAGTGAAAATTTCATACAACAAAGCTTTCCCTAAAAATAATTAAAAACCTTTCATGGCTACAAATGCCTATAACTGAATTTTTTTAAATTGATCATCCCACCAAGTCACCACTACCCGACTAAATATTAAAGTTGATTAATAAATTTAGGCCCAGTAGATTATCTCAACTATTACTCAATAATTCACAATTCTAGCAAAGTCCAATTTGATTTCCTGACATTCTTAAAATAACATTCCTATGATAACGAGATTATAAATCCTATTCTGACTTAAACTCGAAATACTTTAAAATCTCAAACGCATCCATTGTAACAAGACTTGGTGGGGTAAAATCAAAAACTCAAACTCCAATAACACAGTGAATTTGAAAAGCTCTGTAAAACCCCATCCAAGTCTTCCAAATCGGCAAAATACAACAACGTTTTTCCTTTCTTCTGGGTAAAGAACTCTGTAACTAGTATATTTAAGATATTAATATTAAAGGAGAAAGATAAGAAATTACTCAATTTTTTCTTCCAATTAATAAAATACCTTTTTTTTTTTTTTTTTTTGCTGTTTTCTCAATTTCTTCTTCTCAAACCCCCGAAATTCCTTATTCCTTCCACGCAATCCAAACTTCTCTCTTTTCCTTCTTTCTCTCTCCTCTTTTTCTCACCGTTTGCGGAAAAATTCCCCTTTTTCGAGGTCTAATCGGGTGATTTTTGCTGCTCTTTTGCTGTTCGTGTATCAATTGATCATAACAATTTCTGGGTTTTCAGGTAATTTTGTTTTTTTAATTTTTTATTTATGTTTTACAGGAATTTGAAGTTGGGTTTTGTTTAATTTTGAATTTTGGGGGTTGGGATTTCCAGATTATGGTTAATTACTGAGTTGAAGTATTGTTTGATTACCCTTTAATGGGAAAAGTATTTGTTGGGTGTTGAATTGACTGAATTTTTAGCTGTACTTGGAATCATATGATAGTTAATGTTGTTAATTTAATCAAGTTATTGCTAATTGAGTTAAATTTTATTGCATTTTTGTAACCCTTAATTTTAATCACTTGGTTCATCTTCGTTAATTGGATGTGCTATGGAATTTAAAGCCAATTTGTACTAATTTGAATGTGTGTTAATATTTGTTTTGCTATGAAAATACTGAATTATGATACCACGTTTTGATTTATTTTGACTTATGAGATGGAGGATGAAAGTTTTTACAACTTTGATGACTTTGAACATATTGGATTTATATGGGTTATTCAGCAAATGCACTGATTATATTCACCCTAGTGGTTGCATGAAGACTTCAAAACTACAAAATTTGAAAATTTCATGGATTCTTGATAATTGAGCTCATATTAGTTATATTTCGTTATGGGATGCTTCTAGGAGTTCTGGCGGCGAACACTTATAATGTCACTACATTGCTTATCTGTCAATGCTGATAATTTAGATTCATAGCTCATATAGCACAGAACTTGTCAGGGAATCGCGGTGGTTCTCTTTGCCTGAAATTTTCCAACTCTATGTTTTCAGCCCTCTTATACATTATAGTTACTTAGATTCGATTAATGGTGTAGTCAACTCAGCGGGGATACATAGTGCATCTAATTTTAGCTATTGTGGGTTTTGTTGTTGTTTTATGTTTAGTTTTATTGAGTGTGTTAGTGTTGTATCAATCTCAGGACCTTCATTTGATTGTTTGAGCGGGGAATGGACTTACCGTATACAACTACTGCTGTTGCTTGCAAATAATGTCCAATTGGCAAGGGGGTAGAAATGCTTTGAGCATATTTAAGTGGAAAAAACCTGGTGATCCTTCACTATCTATTGGCCTACTCAATGATATTCCTCCTGAGATTGAACTATCCGAATATGGAAGGGTGCCGAGTCCTGGAAGTGAAAGCCCTTCTGGGCTACTTAACGGGGAGAGCCTGAAAGTGGAACCTATTGCTGATTTGGACCTGTTCTTTGAAAGGCTGTATAGCTACTATTGTGAAAAAGGGCTTTGGTGCATCATTGTGAAGTGGATAGTTGAACTCTTGAGTCTTGCTTTTACAATATGCTTTTCAGGGTTTTTCTTACTTTTCGTTGACTGGAATGGTCTCCGCAATGCTAAATGTGGAATCGATGCTGTTGAATCTGGAACTAAGCCCTGTGACCTTGCGATAGAAGCTCTCCATGCGCATCCATTAACCCCACTTACACTTCCCAAGGCAATTATTCTTGGGTACCTGGGTATATTTTCCATATATTGGGTCTTCTGTTTTCTAAGGTTTTTTGCTCAGCTTAAGGAGACTCTTAGGATACGTCACTTTTATTACAACTGGTAAGCTTATATAAGCACAACTTTGTATTTGCTATATTCCCCATTATCTCTTTGGTCTTTCTCGCCCTTTCTCTATTGTGGCAGGGGTATGATGGTGATATGGTGTTGCCTCTTGATTTGCGAGTACACTAATTTAAGAATGACGTTCTTTGCAGTCTCCATGTTACAGATGATGAGTTGAAGACCATGCCATGGCCTTCTATTCTTGAGAAAGTGGTTCGTGTTCAGAATTCACAGAAGCTATGTGTTGTGAAGGATCTGTCAGCTCATGAAATTGTAATGCGATTGATGCGGAAGGAAAATTACTTGATTGGCATGATCAACAAGGGGATTCTTGCTTTCCCTATATCTAAGTGGATCCCTGGTGCTGGTCCAGTTGTCAAGTCTGGCCCTAATAGGGGCCATCAACGCCTCATATTGACAAAAACACTTGAGTGGACCTTGAATTGGTCCATATTACAGAGCATGTTTGACAGGTAATAATTGCTTGACTGTAGTACTTCCTTCGTCCTTTTTTACTTGCAACATTTCTATAGTGTAAATTATTCACATACTCAATTTCAATTACATTTTGTGATTTATGCTTTATTAAAAAAAAAGTCATATGGGTCTTGTTAGATTCATCTCAATGTCTACTTCAATAAATTTAGTTTTATAATTTTTACAAACGCATGACTAAAGATAAGTAAATGGTTGAAGATACATTGGCTAACGTGAAAACAAGAAAAGTTGCAAGTACGGAGTAAAGTATAAGCTGATGAATTGTTTAATTATTTTTTATTTCCAAATTTAGAATGTTGTGTGGAATCCTTGGCTGTTATGTCCGTTCCTCTACCACATCTTGTTCACTTCATTTCATGAGAATTTTTGCTTTTGCTTGCGGTAGAAGGTCACTAGTCCTTCGCAGGTCAATCTTATGCATGAAAGTCCTATCCAATCATGTTTCACTTCTTTGCTTTGGGATTGCTTTCTTTCATGTGCTGAAATCTGTACAAAATGACTAACTTTGTCATTAATCTTTAATTGAAACAAGCTTCTACTAACTGTAGTTAATTCAGACCTGAAAGGTATGGCTGCCTTCATTTGACCCTTGTATTATGTGCTGAGTGTTGCTGGTTAGTTATTTTCTAATAGTTTTTCATGATCTCCTTATTCAAGTAAGGCAACAAGCCTTGATATTTATATTGATCAGTTGTTAATGGATGCACAATAAGCTGAGCTCTTCTTTTATACTGAATATTTTGACTACGTTGATTATATCTTTGTTCGTTGGTTTGAGAAAGCAGTTTGTTTTTGTGAACTATATATCTGTAACGAGACCATGATTTAACTTCTCTGGGATTTCTCTTCATATGTTTCCCTTCTATAAATGTTTCTGCACAAGAGAAGCTTTGGAATTTGATGTTATGTTCATTTAGTGGCTGATACGCTCTTTTATGCCTGCAGAAAATTCTGTATCAGGGAGGAGTTTGTCTCAAATCCTGGTGCTTTGAGGAAAAGACTTGTAGTAGTTGGACTGGCAATGCTTCTCCTTTCTCCATTTTTAGTAATATTCATGCTGGTTTATCTCTTCTTGAGGCACGCTGAACAATTCTATAACCACCCAACAACAGCATCATCTCGAAGATGGTCAAATTTGTCAAAGTGGATGTTTAGGGAATTTAACGAGGCAAGTTTTTTTCACTTTGTTTTATTTTGTTTTTCCTGTGGCATGGTTTTGTTGTATCATTTTGGTATTTAAGTTTGATTGTGTTACTAGTGTTGCACATACTCTCCTGCCCTTTGTTAATTGTTAATTTAGGAAAAGGTTGATTACAAAGGAACATCTTTTCTTATAACTTTCCTAGACTTTCATACCGTATAGGTTAATGTAATATACAAATTTATAGACCCATGATAATAGAAACTTGGCAAGTTTTTGGGGAGTTTTCAAATAGATCAATGTGACAACTAATATACATAACTCCAAAGTACTAACCAAGAAGCAAGGAGAGCATTTTGATTTTTGAAGCAATCCAGAAAAAAATTTAGACATCCATACAATTCATAGTTCCATATGTTTAATAGCTGATGTTTACTACCTGTATTACATTGTACTAGTAAATTTATTATGTAGTATTTTCTTAATTTCCTTTCAGTTTTTTGTTTATTGAATCTGTTCAGGAACATATAAATATTTGAACATACTCCATTGTACAGCAATTTGATATGTCAAATTGTCTATCAAATTATTGTTGGATCTATACTCTATACTGATCTAAGATATTATACTGGTTGGCGTTATTAGCAATAATGTGGTTACAGAATTGCAGATTGTGCAGCACATGGATTGTGCTATGCTCTACCCTAAATGGATGGCGCCTCAGCTCCTAGGCATACTTTTTTATATACTTGTGGGGAGGAAAATCCCTTTACAAATTTTCACTTTCATTTCCACTAGGAATTTGGCATGAAAAATAAAAGCTAGTAAATCAAATTTCCTTTCTCTTCCCTTCATATCTATTTAAGAACCAAACATTGGAAAATAAAATCTCTTTTCTTTCCCTTCTCTTCCTTTTGTTTTCCCTTCACTTCATTTCTCTTTGTTTGCTTTACTAATATTGAAATAGAAGGGGGGTCTAAGGCTAAGGGCGATAAATAAAGCAATAACAACAACAACAACAACAAAGCCTTGGTCCCAAGACGATTTGGGGTCGGCTAACATGAATCGTCATAAGGAACCATTTGATATAGAAAAAGGGATGTAACAAGATAATCAGTTGAGAGAGTTTTAAAAGAGAACCAAGAATATAATTCAAGAAAATTTTAAAGGAGTGGTAAAAACATGGGAGTAATTAATATAAAGGTTTGAGAAAACACTAGCTAGGGAAATCAATAAAGCTCATAAAACACAAATTGAGTAATATAATAAAAGTAAATAATTAGATAAAATAAACAAAAGTATGTATATAATCATGACATGTTGTTGACGTGAATTTTCCCCCTCCACACCGCCCTATCCAACACCATATTTTCCTCAGTCCCCAAAGCACTCATATCACTCTCAATCACCCTCTTCCAAGTTTTCTTACGTCTTCCCCTATTCCTCGCGATCCCAACACTTTGCAACTCTGCGGACCTCCTTACTAGAGCCTCACTTGGTCTCCTTTTTACATGGTCAAACCACCTTAAGCGATTCCCCCTCATCTTGTACTCAATCAGTGTAACCCCCTACTTTCTTCTTGTATCTCATTCCTCTACCAATCCTATATTATAGTAAATTTGCATGAAGTTGGGATCTATGACAAATAATGTGCCTGTACAACATTATTGAATGTTATAACACTTTTAGCTTTAGCTTCTAATTCATTTGCCATTGGGCTATATATAGCTACAATGTACATCCTATAAAGTAAAACTCAAGAACAAAATTGCAGAAAATGCAGTACTGAATTCTGATATAGCATAGTCATTGGGATGCAATTATAGCTTTTCATCTGTTGACATAGATTTTTCCAACAGCAGTCTTCGAGCCTTTGGTGTCCTGAGCCTTATTTTATCTCCATGTTCTCTCCGTACCTACAGGGAAGATTTGATCTATGGCTTTGTGGCCCAATATAATGGTCCTGTTAAAGATTATCTTGTCAGGAAGTGGCAGTCCTACTGTGTTGGTGGTTGGTTGGGCTATAATGGCAAAATGGAATCTAGCTTGCAGAAATATTCATGCAAGGATTGTTGCGTGCTAGGGTAACCTAAATATATCCTAGTTGGCTTAATTCGAATGAGTTTGTGCCTCACAATTTTTTTTAGGTTGACACAATTATTAAGGTTAGAATATGGGAGGGGTATTGGAAGTGATATGTGCTTTCTAAAACGAGGGGAAAATGGTAATGTAAGTAGACTCAAAAAAGCTGAAGAGACTATAGGCCTGTGATAATGTACAAAAGTTTGACATATTCATGCCTGCCACTTCCAAAAGTTCAATTATCGTAGTGCCGCGTGAGGACGTAACATTCAGCATATTTCTTTTCAGTTGCGTTTAATATATGCCAAAATTACATTCTGTTTGTCATGGCTGGCTCATTGGTAGCAATAGGAGTATTGAGAATATACCTGTAGGAGCTCTTGTGAGTTTAGTTTGAAAATAGAATTAATGAGCTTTTCTGTCTGTAATGTCTGTAGGCACTAGGCAGTGTTAATCACACTAGAAGGGATTACTGGTTAGGAGCTTATATCAACTTGCAGTTGCTACATGCAACTATGCTAGTGACATGGAGGTTGCTTGCTTGGTGGTTTTACGGTTTAATGACTTAAGGACTGCAAATCATCCGCTTAGGAGTTTTTAAGGTCTTCTGATGATTTAGAAATCTGTGATTAAGTAGTGAAATCTCAAGATGCCATACTTAACTGTGTAGAAAACGAACACCCTTTGTGTAGCAGTTGAACGGTTGAGATATGAGAACCTGTTCTTGAACTTATTTCTGTTCATCATGTACGAATTAGCCATTAACTATATTTTTCATTTTGTTTCAAGGAATGGGTAGGGTTGGGGGTTGTGATTTTATGGTGTTAACATATTTGGAGATCAAATGTAAACTATTTAGGTATAGAAAAAGGTGTATTAGAAAGTTGATTTACTCCAATGCCCTAGCTGCATTGAGGTGATTTAGAAACTAATGAGTATAGTGAAATGTAAAATAATGTTTTATCGAACACCTGAAATGTTCTGCATAATATTAAGATGATGTACCCATAAAATTTTCTGTACCCCTATTCCTTGATGTTGTCATTGACTTTTTATCCCCCTGCATTGTAGGTGGAACACTTCTTTAGACACCGCATAAACAGCAGTGTCATACATGCTTCAGATTACTTGAAACAATTTCCATCTCCCATAATTTCAGTTGTTGCTAAATTCATCTCATTCATATCTGGAGGCTTTGCTGCGGTGCTGATCATTATTGCTTTGCTGGATGAATCTTTGCTGGAGGGCCATGTAATTTCTTCTTCTTTTTTTGCACCTTTTGAATTCACCACAGAAAATGGACCCTATGTATGTTGATACAGTGGCTAACAATCTATTATAATGCCTTTTTGTTGTAATTCTTGAAGATATTTGGCCGTAATTTGTTTTGGTATGTTGCTGTATTTGGAGCAATTACGCATATCAGCCGGGATGCTGTGACAGATGAGCTTCTAGTTCTTGACCCCGAGGGCACAATGTCCTTGGTGGTTCAGCACACTCATCACATGCCAAAGAGATGGCGTGGTAAAGAAAATACAGAGACGGTCAGGATGGAGTTTGAAACTTTATTTCAGGTAATTTCATAGGCTGGAAACCTGATGCTGTTTAAGTTGTTTAATCTTTGGCTAACTAATTAGCATTGATTACAAATGCTTAATAAATTATGTATTTTTGCAGTATACAGCAATGACGTGGCTGGAGGAGATGGCCTCTATATTTCTAACTCCTTATTTGCTTATATATGTTGTGCCAAAGGTTATTAATTTTCCATTTGAATTAAATCACTCGTTTCTTACTTGGTTGAGTGACTTTAAGCTTATGCTGTGTCTTTACTTCAGAAAGTGGATGACATTCTGCAGTTCATCTCTGAATTTACGGTATACATAGATGGAGTTGGTGATGTTTGCAGGTTTGTGTATTAACAGCTTATGTTTCGTTTGACCTTTTGTGAAATGCTACCTCCTGTTTTTTTACCCAGTGTATCTCATTCTTCTTGCAGCTTTAGTGCCTTTGATTTTCAAAAGCATGGCAACGGCAATTATGCTTCTCCATACAATTCACTTCCCACCCAGAGGAGCTCCCAAGGAAAGATGGAAAAATCTTTTCTGAGGCATGAACTTCTCTAGACTTGCACTCATTTTCATGCTATTTTTGTTGTTGTTGTTGTTGATGTTGTTAACCTATTTAAGTTGTCTTTTCTGTCTACAGCTTTCAAACCAGCTATCCCTATTGGCAATCAGATGCTCAAGGGATGCATTTTCTAACCACTCTCAGAGCATTCCGGAATGAAAAGTTGAGAAGGCCTAATCCTGGATATGGGCATTCACCACCCAGAAGATGGCAACAGAGTCCAAGTTTGATAGATCATAACTCCAGAAACAGCCACTTCAGAAGAGAATCCCCTTACAACAGTCCTGCACCGGGTTATCATTTGGGCTCTCTGTGGCTTATCGAAACTGATCCTAAAACTCACCCTTATCTTCTTGATTGGTTTTATGTGTCCGGGGCTCGTCATGTTATTGGTACTAATGATGTCCCATCAGTTTCTATGGACATTGATAATGAGCAAAGCAAAGAAATCTGGAAGCCATCCTTAAATATTGAAGCCAGTCATGGAGAAAGTTGGCCTAATTTCTTTGAGAATCGGTCAAAGAGCCATCTAGAAGCTTCCACGTCATCTCCAGTCTTTCTGGAAGACCAAAGTGTTCTGCGGCATCATGACTCAAGCAACATGTTGCCGTCTGCTAGGAGCCACTGGTGGGACCGTGGTGGGCCCAGCAGTGCGGAGCCTCAACAAGCAAGCTTTCTTGAGCCTCCTGAGTTTCAGCACCATGGCGGGCCCGAACAAGGCAGCTTTCTTGAGCCTCCTCTGTTCAGATACAATGGCGGGCCCCAACAAGCCAGCTTTCTTGAGCCTCCTGAATTTAACCGTCACAATGGCAGTGATTACTACGGAAGCCATTCAGAGAGGAGCGTAGATGAGCACGATCAACCATTGGATTGGGGCAACTACCACCAGTTGTCTCGAACGACCGATCCTGTTGAATTTGGTACCAGTGGTGGCGATTTTAAGCTCCATTTTGATGATGTCTATAAACCTTCAGAACCTCCTACCATAAATATAGACTCTAGAGACTTAGCCCCTGATACATATCAAGTGAACTAATTCTTGATCCCCTACACGGAATCGTTGTTTTTTCATTTTCATTTCTTGGGTTCTTTTTGGTACATAATCTTAGGGCTATTTTCTCCTTTTTGTTTGGTGCAAGGAGAGCAGAAGATCGTAATTCTTTGTTGTACATAATTCATGGCTTAAAAAAAAAAAAGTTGCATTTAGAATTGACCTTGCCTCTCTTTCTAGAATTGTACAAAGAAAAACTTGCATTTTAGGTTGCTCATAATCCTTGTCTTGTTTGTAAGTATGCAATTGCTGTTAGCTAATTAATAAATTAAGAGGTGAATTGGTTATATTGGTTCAACTACATACCTTGTACATTCAAATATTCAATGTCATTCATGATGTTATTCACTTCTTTTATACTCGTAGCAAGTCAGCAACCACACCAATGATATAAAATTATACCATGTCATCCTGTAGAATGACATTAAACATATAATTTTCCTTTATTTAATTTTTCATATAAAAATAAAAATATACACAGTAATTTTATTTATTTATTTTTTTCCACCTAAAATTAGTCTAAACTAGTCAAGTTAGGTTTTATCGGTTCTGATCCTAAATTAATTAGTCCAATCTCCGATCTCGAATTTCAAATTCTCCCTCTGTATTTTATTACTTGCCCCACTTTTTGTGGTCGTATTCTATTACTTGCTCCATTTTTTTTTTATTGAAAACCTTTTACAATATTTACTACTTCCTCCATTCTTTATTAGTTGATCCGCTTTGATTTTTACACTATTCACCACCTATCATTTGACCGGTTTTTGTGAATAATAGGTAAAGAAAAACATTTTCATGTGGGATGTTTTTGAATTCGTCTCAATAAGTACTATCATAATATATAACTTTTATAATTTTTATTTATGGAGAATTAAAGTTATTGATCGTTAAAGTTTTGTATTAACAAACGTGATAAAAGAAATAAGTCAAGTAGAAAAGAACAAAGGAATTATTTTTTTTCCTCCTAGCGAACCCCCTTAACTATCATACTTTTAATAATAAAATACAAAGGGAGTATTTGTTAACCAGTCCAATCTCCGGTCTTGAATTTGAAAAATTTGGTCATGAGTCCACTCCGGTCTTGGACTATACGGACTGACCCACCAGGAGGTTTACTAAAACAACTCTAACTGACAGTACTTTCGAAATTAATAAACAAGTATTGGCATGCATTTGGCAAGCTCATTTCCCTGATCATTTTCATCCATTGAAGAGAGGAAAATGAGAAGAGCAAGCTTCACAATTCTGTCTCTCCCCAAACTAAAACCCATCACAGCAACAACAACACTCATTTCTCGAGCTTATGCTTTTCGGCTAATTTCTAAGCCGTACTCTCACAATTTTGGGATAAATTGCGTGAACGAAGCTGCTCAACTTGAGGAACAAGGTGAGGAAATTGAAAAGATCCAATCTTTTGCTATTCAAGGTTTAAATCATCTGCAAAAATGCTATGATTCTCATAATTCTGATTGTACTTATTCTTCTTTTATAGCTTTAAGAATTTTGGGTTCTACTAATAATAGATTATACAAGTATTATGATGCTTTAACCTATCTTAATAGGGTTGATAACATTTTGAACAAGTACAAGAAATTCAGGGCTGAATCTCTATTTTATTATGGCCCACCCTTATGTAATCAAACTTTAAATGAGATCCTTTATGATGTTCAAGTTGAATTGGTACTGATATGGGTAGTAGAAAGAATGTTTTTGAGGATTTGAAAAGGTTAGTGGAGTTGAAGGAGTATAGAGTGAGTGATAGATTGGAAAGGATTGGTGATACATATTATGAGAAGGAAGTAAATTGGCGGTTATCAAGCTTTTACTTTTGATAAAACTTATTTTGAGGAATTATGTGAGAATGAAGGGAGGTGTGAAGGTTTTTTAATAGAAGAAATGGATGAACTTGTTATGTTTTACAGGGACTTGGCAGAAGTGTGTGTTGAGAATTCAAACTTAAAGGAAGCGTTGTCATATCGTTTGAAAGCATTGGAGACTTTGGAGATGTCCACCAAGGTCGATAATTTTAGGGATATCGAGGTAGAGGCTGCTATTGATAAGCGGCTTCTTTCTGTTATGTATGCTGTAAGCCTGTAAGTGAGGAGGATGAGAAGGCACTTTCCTACAAGGAGTCCGCTTGGAAAGTTCTTAGGAGCATAGAAAATAGCTCTCATTTCGTTCATGCTGAATATAATGCTGTTAATATGCTTATCACTCTAGGGTGTTATAAGGATGCTTACAACATGGTGAGGGACATTTTTTACAGTCATCCGGCTGAACCGGCTCTTGCTTTTGAAAAGCTGGATAATGGCTCGGATCAAATGCTCGTTGGAATTGGTAGGCCTTCATTCGTTATTAACAAAATAAAAATGAAAGATGAACTTAAGGCAAGAGGAATAGAAGATGAAATTAAGGCAAGAGGAATACATGATGTGATTATGGGTGTCATATACATTATGCAGGCCAAAGCTAGTACAGAAAATTATTACTACGTAGAGATGTATCTAGATGAAGCTTCTTGTTTTCTCAAAAACATCTTAAAAGTTGAAGCCATTAGAAGTTTCTGCAGGATACTCAGAGATATCTATGCTATATAAGGAAACAACAGCAATCTCCTTGTTGAAGAGAGCCCATGTTTTGCTTCAGAAAATGCCTGAAAAACAGCAGTATTCTGAAGGAATTGTCTCTGCTAGGATTGGTTGGTTACACTTATTTGCAGGCGAGGCTACACAGGCTATTCCATACTTGGACAATGCCTCTGTAAATCTGAAAGACATCGTTGGCCCCTATCATTACGAAGTTGGTTTTGTCTATAACAACTTGGGGGTGGCTTATTTGGAATTGGGAAAACCGCAAACAGCAGCACTGATGTTTCTTGTTGCAAAGGGTATCATGGATGTTTCACTTGGCCCTAACCATGCTTGCTCGAGCCAATTCAAAACCTAACAAAGGCATATGTTGCCATGGGAAGGTACAATTATTTTTTGCAATATGATGATTATGGTCCAACTGAATACTGCTTGCCATTTTATGGTTCCTCGTCTCCTTACTTTGTCAACTTTCTGTGCTTATTGTGGTCAAAATGTAATTTCTTTTGCAATATTTACCGCTGCTGAATCTAAGACATTAGCGTATGTTACTTATCCTGAGTCTTAGTTGCATATTAGGAACCAAAAATGACTTGCATATTTGATGAATCAATAATCACATCAGCAGTGAGTGTAGAATCAAGTGACCACATGTTCAGTCAATGTGCAATATTGCTCATCTTTTTACCTTTGTAGGCCCAAAAATGGTGTAGAAGTATTCTGTTTTTCCCATTTTTCAGGATATTGATTCATGGCTAATCCTTTATTTTTTTTGTTCTCCGATTTCTTATTGAGAGAGTTAACTGTTTCATTTTCATCCCACCCCCAGTGTAAATCATTTTGTTTTGTAGAGCTTTTATAGAATCTCGCTAGTCATTGTTGAAAGATTGACAAGGATTAGATGATCCGTAAGCCCGTGAGATGTATAAGACTCTGTAATATATATATATGAAACTAGACTTTATAATATATAGATCTAGGAAATTTTGTATTCTGTAAACATTTACATAAAAGAAATTTATGGCATGTGGTGTAGCATGTTCCTCAACCATGTCCAATGAGAAAGTGAGCAGATGCAAGTGGTGTAGCATGTTCTGAATTTTGCTGGTTTTAAGTGTAAAAGTGGTGTTCTGATTTGAATTCTGGAAATTGTTTCCCCCCTTTTGAATTTCATAGACTGTTTGTTGAATTGCAGTTGTCTCCCTGCAACCGAACTCCGTTCAAAAGTAATGCAAAGCGCAAAAAATGAGCTTAGAGAAGCACACAGAATTCTGAAGCACCTAAAGACTGAAGCAGGCTCCTCATCCACAGAACTTCCAGTAAAAGCCTTGCCCTTGCCTCACAATAGCAAGCCTAGCGCCATCTTACAACTGAATCCCTGTTATAATCATCCTATATGTTCTCGGGTTGATGTCAGAAAAATACGTGTTTCATTTCCAGGGAACTAGGTCGCCTGACTCTATTTTTTCTTATGTATAAGTGTGTGGAACACTTGACATCTACCCGTGGGCTGTGTATGTACTCACAAATGTAAGTATTGAGGGAAGGCCTGATTATGCGTTTGTGCTCACAGATGAGTTTGCTGTCGTTTTAACAAATTGGCAAACAAATTTACTTGAAATGTGTATGTGAAAAGTCGTGTTTTAAATTAAGTAATATTTTTCATCATTGTCTCTATACCTTTGAAACGTCTGAGATGTGGATACATACATGCCCATGTGTAAAAATTAATCCTAGTGCTCATTGTCACACAAACAAATTTTGGGCAATTAGTCTTTGATAAGACATTACTCGGCAATGAGTTCCTGGAGGAGCAAAGTGTTCTGCGGCATCATGACTCCAGCACCATGCTGCCTTCAGGTGGGATTTGCTGTACATAATTCTAAGCTGTACATAATTCATGGCTTAAAAAAAAGGTTGTATTTAGAATAGACCTTAAAATTTGCATGTTTAGGGTGTACAATATCTGGATCTTGTTTGTACCGTTGTATGTATGTATTTGCTGCTAGCAAAGAAAATAAGAGGTAGATTTATCATATTGCTTCATAAACATTGAACGTTCATGGTTCAAGTATAGAAAGTCATCAATCCAATCTAATAATACGTTGATTAAGGGTAATAGCATATTTGCATTTGTGATAGATTGCTAATTTCTAAAAGGTCTCCCATAAATCTGAGTTAAGATTACACATCTTGCTTGATAATTAATTTGAGTAGTTAGGTGTGCCCACATACTCAACAATAACCCTAGAATACTCCGATGTACCCAAGACCTAGAGCTTGGAAAACTATAACTTAAGACCACATGCACAATAATTCCTCGCCTTTCCTCCCAACTTATTATTTTTTGGTTGAAAAAAATATATAAATTTTGCATATGTTTCTTATGTACGGAGTATTTTATGGAATGGAAGTAACAATCTTATGGAACGAAATAATAGAAATCATTCTCATTTAAGTTTTGTTCTCACCTAAATGAGTGTTTTTCTTATAATATTTTCTATATAATACTTCGTATATTCATTAGTGGTTGCTAAACTTTAGACCCCGGATCTTGTTCTCTAATTAGTTCAAGTCTGATTCGGTCCGGTTTCGAACACTGCACAAGGCGCACACTCGCACAGCCTACTACACACCACCACACGACACTAATACGAAGTATACTAGTATAGTCTTCAATAGTGGGGTTTTGCAAGGGTTTAAGCTAGAGAAGATCATTCTTAATTGTGCAAGTTTCCCTCTTTGTTCTTCTGTTCCTCAATCAATTATTCAAGCTGCTCACCAAAATGAGAAGGGCTTCAATCAAACTCCTCTCTTTCTCAAAACCCAGATCAATATCTCGCAACTTAACCACCCAAATCTGTTCAACCCTAGTTTCAACTGATCAATCATGTACCCAGTTGAACTCTTGCTCCAATTCCAAGGGTTTACTCTTTTTCACCCCAAAAACCCACCAATTCCAGAAAACCCCATCTCAAAATTTCAACACCCAAGTTGAAATTCACTCTAAATTGCCTTCTAGGCAGAGGAAAATCAAAGAAAGATCGCAAATTGAGAATGATTTCGAGGCGGCGAAGACGGCTGAAGATATGCTTGAGGCTTTCAAAGAAATGGAGGCGAATTTTGATGAGAAGGATCTTGGTTTAGCTTGCTTGAAAATTGGTCTTAAACTTGACCAAGAAGGTGAGGATCCTGAAAAAGTTTTACCTTATGCTATTAGAGCTTTGGCTGTTTTTGATAGTGAAAATCAAATTTCTTTACCTATTGCTATGACTTTACAGCTTTTGGGTTCTACTAGTTATTGCTTGAATAAGTTTAATGATGCTTTAGGGTATCTTAATAGGGCTAATAAGATCTTGGGTAGGTTAGAGGAAGAGGGTAGTTTTCGAGCCGAGGATTTGAAATCTATTTTACATGCTGTTCAGCTTGAATTGGCTAATACTAAGACTGCAATGGGTAGAAGAGAGGAGGCATTGGGGAATCTGAGGCATTCAGTGGAGATTAAAGAGTTTTTGATGGGTGAAGATAGGAAAGAAGTTGGTAATGCTTATAGGGACTTGGCGGAAGCGTGTGTTGCCATTTTGAACTTTAAGGAAGGCTTGCCGTATTGTTTGAAAGCGTTGGAGTTACACATAAAATTGTTGGGGGAGAATTCGGTAGAGGTTGCTCATGATAGGCGGCTTCTTGGAGTAATTCACACTGGGATGGAGGAGTATGAGAAGGCATTAGAGCAGAATCAGTTATCTCAGAAAGTTCTGAAGAATTGGGGTCGAAGCTCTGATTTGCTTCGTGCTGAGATCGATGCTGCTAATATGCATATTGCTCTTGGGAGGTTTGAGGCAGCTATAAACACGTTGAAGGGGGTTGTTCAGCAGACAGAAAAGGATAGTGAGCATCGGGCTCTTATTTTTATTACAATGGCCAAAGCGTTGGTGAGTCAAGAGAAGTTTGCTGATGCAAAGAGGTGTCTAGAGATTGCTTCCGGTATACTAGACAAAAAGGAAAAGTTGAAACCCTTAGATGTATCTGAGGCTTATATGGAGATATCTATGCAATATGAGACAATGAATGAATTTGAAACTGCAGTATCCTTGTTGAAGAGAGCACATGCTTTGCTTGAAAAGCTGCCTCAAGAACAGCATTCTGAAGGAAGTGTGTCTGCTAGGATTGGTTGGTTACTCTTATTGACGGGTAAGGTTACACAGGCTATTCCTTATTTGGAGAGTGCTGCTGAAACTTTGAAAGAAAGCTTTGGCCCCAAGCATTTCGGAGTTGGATATATCTATAACAACTTAGGGGCAGCTTATTTGGAGCTGGAAAGACCACAGTCAGCAGCACAGATGTTTGCTGTTGCAAAGGAAATCATGGATGTCTCACTTGGTCCTCATCATGTTGACTCTATTGAGGCATGTCAAAACCTCTCAAAAGCATATGCTTCCATGGAAAGGTACATGAATATTTGTAGTTTATAAGTTTACTATATCTAAGTGAACATCAAATTTATCTTTGGAATTGTTTAGAAGAACTGCCATCGTTCACATTTTGTTCTCTCCTTTGCAAAAGTTTTTGAGTTCTAATTTGAGGCATTCTAGTATGTTATCCAATCCTAGCACTTCATAGCTGTTAGTTACATATTAGGCACCTAAAAATGCCAATGAAAATTAAAATTATCAGTGACATTAGGAATGAATAATGAGTCTAAAGTCAAGTAGCAAGGGAATATCTTTCTAGTTTCATGATATAGGCATATTGCTTCATGGATACCTTTTTCTTGTTCTTCAAAATGTTTCTCAGATTAATCTATTTATTTTTAAAGATCTATTATGTCTTTAGAGTAACCTAATTTACTTACACTCCTTGTCACTTACTAGTCACTTGTGAAAGGACAAGAATTGGTGGTATGTATGGGACTTTTAAATTTGAATAATGCAACTAGGAGCTATTGCAAATGGTGTACCATGCTCCTATACCTCTTCACAGTTGAAAGTGAACCTTATCTCAAGTTAATATGATTTTACTAGAGAGTAGAGTTGATAAAAAGGGGGCTGGTCTAATTCACGAAGTATTTTGGCTCCAAACTGTGATCAACTGACCATACCTGAATGCATGTGTAGACCATTTGGCCTTTTACCCTAGCCAATTTGGGTCAAAGTTAGAAAATTTTTGGCTTTTAAAAATGGTCTAGGCAGTCCTTTTCTACCTGTGTCCTGAACCATGATCAGCTTTACTTGATTTAGTCTTTAAAGAATTCTCTCTTGTCATGAACTCATGATGTGCTGCAAAAGTGCAAAACTGTAGTGCTAATTCTTAATGTAGATGTCTTGTGGTGCATACATTGAAACTGTACTTCTTGAGGACAGCTGTCGCTCAATGAGTGGAATGCTACAAATGGGTGTACATAATTGTCAAATGCTATTGCTTTGTTACTCACCTTTGTTAGGCATTAAATAGTTTATTTGTACTGGTTTATGTGAAGCTATTCAGGTTCCCAACCTGTCAACAGATGAAACTTCTTTGTATTTGAAATTTTCTGCCTTTCATATATAGCATTTGTTGAATTGCAGTTATGCCCTTGCAATAGAATTCCAGCAAAAAGCAGTTGATGCTTGGGGGGGTCACGGGAAAAATGCAGAAGATGAGCTTAGGGAAGCATGCAGAATTCTGGAGCAGCTGAAGATCAAAGCACTAGGTGGCTTCTCATCCAAAGTGCTCCCAACAAAGGCCTTGCCCTTGCCTCAGAATAGCAATCCTACCAGGATAGAAAGAAGATGAGGACAGAAAGAAGACAACCATGCTCTTGTGGAAGGTACATTCAGCAGTTGTTTCTGGGGAGTGCACTTCTTGCCATATTTTTTATGTGCTGTTTTTGTTTCTATTTAAATATTGGGTAAGACAAGGGGGTAAGAGAGAGGGGGGGGGGGGGGGGTTTCTGGTGACGGTGGTAGGTTTTGAAATTCGGATGATATGCTAGATATGTTTGCTTGCTTTGCTCCAGTTTTTGTTTTGCTTTTGGTTTTCTATATGAGTTCATTATGATTCTTTGGAAAGTGTATATGTCTGCATCTTAGCTTTTGTTATAGCATTAGGTGTGATCTTCAACTGCGATGTTGTAATTGAAATAGTTATAAGGGATAAGGGAAGGAAGAAGGTATAGAACAAGAAACAGAGGAGCCTGAGAAGGGAGATTTTGAATTCAGAGGAAAGAGTGAAAGAAAGGATCGAGAAGTAATAGAACTTAGAGAAGTGAAATGTTGGACCTAAATAATTTAAACTTGGTTCAATGCCATCCTATAGTTGATAATGAGGAATGAAAGATTCCCTAACATTGAATTCGGAGATAATAATGTAATAAGGTAGTAAAAAACTAGAGACAACCAATTGACCATCAATTAATGGTGTACAATGAGCAAGGGAAGCATATGGTTCGGATATGGGTCATTGTCAATCAATTTTTCCATCTACCGATTGCAGAGATACAAGCAACTAGGAAGAATATTCCTAAATGCCGGAGGAAAGGCTGATGATACAAGCAGATTAGAGAAAACAAGTGAATGGGGAAGAATACTCTTATAAATTTAAATGATGAGCAAAAAGGAAAGAGGGAGATGGAGGGGGTGAGGAGAGAAATGAGCTGAGGTATTGAAGTATGGAGTGATGTATAAAAGAACGAGAAAGATTAAATGTGAATATGAGAAGAGTGATGTGTAAGAGAGTGAGAAAGAATAAATATGAATATGAGAGCTCTTTGGCAAAAATGAGACAACCAAATCACCAATTGTTGTATAATAAAAAACGAGTGTGCCAAAATGTCAAATTTGGAGAGCAGAGTGAATGGAGGAGTGAAATAATATAACTTAGGAAACATAGGTGTTTGACAAAATTTAGTTAAACTTGGTTTAATATCATCCTATAGTTGAAAATGAGGAATGAAATGAGCCTAAATTGAATTCAAAGGTGATAGACTGATAGTGAAATGAGATAGCTAATGCTAGAGAGAGTAGAGACAACCAATTGACCGTCAACCTACGGTAGACAATGAGGGTGTGAAGCAATTCGTATATGGATCAATCAAATTTTTAACTACCTACGATAAAATACAGACAACTACAAAGAATATTTCTAAAACATGGAAAGTCGAAAATCATAATCACGAGCCATTTAATACTCGAATCTCCATGCATATTGTTAGCTGGTTGATGCATGTGTAGTCTAACATAGGTTCAAGGAATACATTTAACTTTTAACTTAACACTTTAGAAAATTACTACTGCTTGTTTACTCATCTACATTCAATACCTATACTTCTATTTTTGTTTGGTGTTAAATATCGTACTTTTAAATCTTCTCACATTCTGTATATGTTTATTAGGTTGTGAATATTTTTCAGTCAGTCATTTACCGCAATCATTGTTAACAAATATTCAAGTTTTTATTGTTCAGAGCCTTTTTTTTTTTTTTTTTTTTTTTTTAATAAATATTCTGTCATTTGTTGTCTATACATATTGATAATGTCTGATTTTAATCACGTCTTATGGGGTTAAGTAGAGCTTCAATATCGAGACTTTGAAAGATGCAAGTGTTTATATTGTTTGGTACTTTACAAGTCATTGGGTATAATTTATACTCGTTTAACTAATTTTTAATGTCGTTTAATAATGTTATACTTATGTTAATCTATAGTCACATTAATCGTTCATGATATTGTGTAGTACCTCACGCGATTGTAATATTTTTCAAGTCTAATGTGCTGCATAAGAATATTGCATCAATTTCTGTAGTAAATGGAATTATTACTAATGTTGTGATATCATGTAGGTGGTGGAGATGGTTTGCAAAGTTAAAGAGGAACTACGAATGTCTTAGCAAAAGCTTTTGAGGGGTTTGAATATCAACGAGGAAGCTGCGACTTTGAAGGTTGTGATCTTTGGTTGATCGGCTTTAGTCGGTTTTAAGGGATACATTAGTGGTTCCTCTTGGAACTTGGCACAAAAGAATTTTTGCAAACCTGTATCAAAATTAAGCATGAAAGTACATTTAATGGAGAAAGAGAAAAGTTTACGAAAAATCCCTTCGCATTTTTTAGATATATTTTTTTTCTTTGGTGCAAGCATTTTTTTAGATATATCATTAAGGTATTACTTGTATTTGCTTCCTTCTAATTGTTTTGTGCTCCTTAGTGCTAACAAAGGCAAGAATGGCAATAAAGGTTTGGTTTGAGTTGAAGCTAAAGTGAGTAGAGGACCGAGTGCATCTTGGTGCATAGCTCCTATGCGTTTTGGAAACACATAGGAGGGTAAAATAGTCATTTGACATTTATAAAGGTTTTTTTTTTTCATTTTTTTTTATTTTTTTTTTATGGATACAATGGTATTTTTTGTATACTATTATGCATGTGTATTATACCATTATGTATGTTTAGCAATTTACTAGATTATACGCTGTTTTAGTATTACTCTTATATCACACAGTGGTATAATATTTGATATACAATTTACATATAAAATTTAGGAAATTTTGTCTAAAACTATTCTAAAGATAAGGTCATTGGTGAACAACTACCCGTTTTTTTTTTTAATTTGTTTAGATCTACTCGAAAGTTATGAAACGTTTGGGTGGCACTATCCAGTAACGTTGTTCGTCTAATTAAAAAGTTATTGGGGCCCACTTTTTCACTTTTCCCACTTAATTAACTCCCCCATCTACCTTCTCTCCTCTCTCCTCCCTAATTAATTTTTCCTCCATTCTCACTCAAAAAATCCAAGAGAAGATAATCAAGCAATTGAACGCAAATTCTCAGTAATTCAGGTAATGTTTCACACTCTTTTAATTCATTGTTTGTTGTATTTGTCTACAAATTTTAATTGAATGCAATTAACACAATTAAGGTTTAAATTAGTGATTTAGATTAGGGTTTATGGGTTCAAATAAATTTTGGGGTTTTGATTTCTAAGGTTTGGGGGTTTAATTGAGTTAAGGGTTTTGGTTATTTTGACTTTGAGATTGAATTCAATTGCTTATTAATTACTAATTGGCCATTGTAATTGGTAGGATGTCTAATTCTTCATACCACTGTAATTGGTATGATGTTTAATTATTAATTGGGGATGTTTAGAAAATTAATTAAGGAGCAGAGAAGATAGCCGGGGAATTAATTAGGTGGGAAAAGTGAAAAAATGGCCCCAGTAACGTCGTAATTGAACGGAAAACATTACTGGGTAGTGCTACCCAAACGTTTTGTAACTTCCGGGTAGTTCTAAACAAATAAAAAAAAAAACGGGTCGTTGTTCACAAATGACCCTATCTTTAGGGTAGTTTTAGACAAAATTTCCCAAAATTTACATACTTATTTGTACCATTAGAAAAAATATTTATACCACTACAACATTTAATGGTACTATTTACCTATTTGATGGTACTTTATACCTATGTTAATATTTACAACTTAGCTATCTTATTTATTTTCCACTTTAAAGGAAAGAAATTGAACTTTGTTTTGTTTTGAGAGCCACAAGGGCAGGTGATGAGAATTGATCTCAAGATCACCTGAAACCGGGAGGGGAGCTCTAATCACATGAGCTATCCCTCACTCTCAACTTCTATACTTTCTACATTCAAACTAACGACCACTAAGTCAAGTTAACCCCCTCGCCCTTCCGCGATATATAACCACATAAGTAGGTGCATAATTGCTTAACACTTCATATTTTGCCATGAGTTGTGTTTGATGCTTAGTACTTGCTATTACCACTATAAAATTCATATCAATATATTTCGATAACAATTGGATAAAAACAAATTTATTCCCCAACCTCCTTGCTTTAATAAACAAGGATACATAATATTAATAATACTGTTATCAATAATTCTGCTATTAATTGCAGTTTTCATATAATTCTAGCCTTAAGGTTTAATCTTAAAACCAAAGTCTTCAAGTATAGCATGTCTCTCCCCGTCATGACCTGTGTAAACCTTAAAGAAATCTTTATACTTAAATGCCTTAAAGAGAGGAGGATTGATTTCTGCTTGAACAAGCTCCTTAGCTGGCTCCACTATGCATTCATATGATGGATTAATGAAGAAAGCAGCACTTGTTCGCGCCTCAGTGGCATTGCTCACTCTGTGCACCGCAGCTTTCAGCTCCCCATTGCTTACAACCTACACCGAATTATACAACGAATCCTGTAAATAATATGCTACTAAAATTTAAGCATATGAAGCTTATCTTCACTATGTTGTATAGAAACAAATATAAGGGTGTATGCAATTGTACCTCGAGTTGATTGCCAACGAAGACAACAAATGCATCAGGAACAGTATCAACACTCATCCATTGGCCATTCTTGAAAAGTTCAAGGCCGGGAACATGAAGAGGCACAGCTTGAAGAATGGTTATAAGGTTGGGATCCGAATGCTTAGTTAATCCAAGAGTTAAACTTGGATTAGAGCATGGTGGGTAATGATTAACAGTCAAGATATTATCTGCACTTAGCTCACTTGCAAAGTACCCTTTTTCTAGCCCAATTCCCTCTGATATGCACTCTAAAATCCTTGCACCTAGATCCTTCAATTCTGTAACATATGCTCCTACAATCTCCCTGTAAACATTTAAGCACTCATGTAAATTCATTAATAGTTCTCTCATTCATCAACTTTGCTAACAAAAAAATATACTCCGTATTATCATAAATTATAATGTGGAAATGATATTTTTTTTTATTTACTTGTAATTCGTGACTTAAGATAATGATGATTAAATATTGTTTTTGAAAAACTTTAGAAAGGAAAGAGTGACAATTGTAAAAAAATGAGAAGGTTGAATGCCTGTAATTTTCAGGATTTTGAGGCCAAAACTTAATGCATTCCTCCAAAGGGCTACAATGGTGCTTCAAAACATCCCTCCAGTAGTGAAACTTTTCGGTGTTAAAGTTGTAGCTGCTTGAGTATATTCTGCAAAACTGATTTAAGTCCTCTTCCATGTTTATTTTTGATTTTTCTTCTGGTGGCAATTCAAAAACTTCTTTGAACACTTTCAATGCTTCATCAATTAAGTCTTTTGAAACCCCATGATTTATCACCTAATCCCAAAAAATAATGGCAATCAAAATTAATTCTGTTTGCTTCTTATAATTAACCCACAAACGAAAAATAGCTTAAGTATTGATAATCAACATCAAAGTATGAACCTGAAATAAACCAAACTCTTGGATAGCCTTCATAATATGCTGGGATGAATTCTCTTCTTGAAGATCAATGATGGGAACATCAACTTTCCCAGAAATAGCTGCATGCAAAACAAAAAATACGAGTTACACAAAACTAACACTTATACATGTACACCGAGGGTACGAGTTTATCCAAAAAAATAGGGAAATTTTCTTTGTTAACGCCCAACTTTCTCTTTGGTAACTTGCAAAAATTTCAATTCTCTTTGATAATCTTGTATAATTAATTTTTATCACTTATAACATTAATGATTAATTTTTATTAAAATTTTAACAATAGTTAGAGTTATTTGGTTAATTTAATCATTTTTAATAATAAAATTATTTTAAAAAATATTTTTTTTTTAAAAAACCCAACCCTCCCCACCCCCGCCCCCGCCCCGATCGGCGACCCCCTCCCATTTCCCCACTCAACGCCCCACCGACGACCCTGACCCCACCCCAAACCTCCCCGAAAACGGGCCCCCCTCCCCAACTACCCCCCTCCCTTGTGTGTCGACCTCAAATAGGGTTTAGGGTTTTTGGGCCGGCAAACAAGGGGGCCGGTTTTCAGGTGGTTTGGGGTGGGGTCAGCAGTGGGGTGTTGGGTAGGGGAAATGGGAGGTGGGGGTGGGGGAAAGAGTGGAGGTAGGGGCGGGGAGGCTGGGCGTCGCTGGCCGAGGGTGGGGTGTCTGGCCGTCGACAAGGGGAAGGGGCTGCTGGTGGCTGGGTGGGGTGGGGGAGGGGTTTGGGCTTTTTTAAAAAAAATTATTTTATAATATTTAATTATTCCAAAAAATAAAAAAACTAACTATAGTTAAGGATTTTTATTAAAATAATACTTATCAATGGTGATCAATAACACAATGTTACTAATTATAATGAAAATATTTTATTTTTACCAAAGAGAAAAAGAAAAACTTAAGTGTTATCAAAGAGAATTTCACAAAAAATTATATACCATGTATCACACATAAGTCAATTCAGAGGGTGACTTGATTTATTGACTTTTATGTACGTATTGTAATATGGGGTGACTAAACAAGTTGCAGACTATATTTTCATAGTGTACAGAATAACAAATCATTATCATTATTTGTTAAATATTTGTACTAAAGCAACAAACTTACGTGGTCTTCTTTCAGGTGGAAACACATAGTTTTCCACAGTTTTTCCATTTGCAGTAAAGCAATCTGAGAGGAGGTTAGCCATCAGTAATATGTAGGTGGAATTTATATAAACTGTTTGTGCAGTGGTGCAACTCTTAGATGTCACACATTTATATATAACATGCATGTAAGATGTTAAGGAGTATGCATGTCTATCTATTATCTTTTATTTTTACACAAATGTCTATCCAATATCAAAGATGATTTTTTTTCCCTATTGCATACTTACAAAATCAATATCTATACGGATTTCGTTCACACTTGTATATGATATATTGTTATATGAATCCTTATGGATATGGATTTATTTCCTATAGAAATACAATCCCTCTTGATACATATACAACCCTTCTTGATACATATGAATTCTTAAGGTTTTGCTCCTTTAGAGTTATTTTCAGTCAAGTTCAGTTCATTTCATTTAAGTTCAATTCAGCCCAATTCAGCTTAATATAGCTAAAAATAAATCATAAATTTAAAACGGTAAAATGAGACTTTTATTTAGGGATAAGTTTTTTGGGTGAATTGAAATAATGGAGGGAGTCATTTTTGTTCCACTTCCCCAATTCTATAGATATTGCAACATTTGGACTTTTATTAGTTACATATCACCCATGATCATTTACTTACTTATAAGAAAAAGAAATACATAGTCATGTGATTGGTGTGAGATCTTGTTAGATTTCTCTCGATATATGTACTTTTAAAATATCAGCATTTATAGCTATATACTGGGTAATTCTCGACAAATGCTTGATTTATACTAGTTAAGTAATACTTAGCTTCATCTGTTTTTTTTAGTTGACGCGTTTTTTTTAATCATGTTTACCAACGCACAAGTGCAACAATTAATAATTCTAAATATCAATAAGTTAAACATGTAAAGAGCTGATGTTATATGAAAGTATTGAAACAATTTTAACTAGCTTAGATCTCACATAACGATATTTTAAAAAATATTAATTTTTTATAATTTTTTGGTCAAATGCGTAGAAATAATATCAAGATATATTCTTAATATTATGTTGCTAATATATTTCTCAATCAAATGATATCTTTGACTTATATATGCATATGTTGCATGTAGAATATTTTTTATTATTGCGTAAATCAAATCTCATTCTTATGTACATATATTATCCTCTTAATATGGGTATTATCTTCCCCTTCTTTATACACATACTAGATGGAAGCCCGTGCGATGCACGGTTTTTTCATCTAAGATTTTAAATTATTTGATTTATTGTATTTAATAATTTCAGACAAAATTACAAAAGTTTAATATTTTTTTTACTATAATTTATAATAAATTTATTAAATATAAATAA